AGCAGCTGCATCACAACAAACACCGAACGAAATCTTAAGTCTTCAGGCAGTTCTCACACGTGATAAACTTCAGACATCCTCACCGTTCAACGGACACGACTTCTTTACCTGGAGCTTCGAGTTCGAGCTGCTGATGGAGGCCGCGCATCTTCTGGGATACTTCAACGGGTCCCTGCCATTCCCAAGCAACGGCACTGGGAAGGAACAAGAATCTTCACGTATCAGTCGCTGCTGGCGTATACGGTACTCCTGAGAAACCTGTCACCACAAGAGCAGCAGAGCATCAGAACGTATCGGAGTTATGGAAACTCCGCGGACTCGCATGGCACCATCTCAAGTGCCTTTACCAAGCAAACGACAGCGTGACACAAAGCAGACTCATGCAACAGCTGACAACAATACAGATGAAGACCGGGGAAAAGGCGATGCAGTATATGAGTCGCTGCCAGACCCTCCGCGACCGCCTGCTTCGGTGCGGAGGAACGATCACTGAAGAAAGCTTCGTGACACTTGTCCTCGCCGGGCTCGGGCCAGAATGGAGAACCACACGATCACTTCTTCGAGCCCACGGAAGAATTTCGGAGATGCACCTCTGCGCCGAGCTTCACGCTGAACAACAGGAGATGGATCTGTTCGAGGAAAGACAACCAAGGAAGCAACAGCAGTTAGTCTTCTACACTCAAAGAAGAAATGACAACAACTACAACCGACGCAGCAAGCAAGATCAACGCGACAACCGAGGACTCACCATCGTGCCGCCGTTCTGCCACAACTGCCAGACTTCCGGGCACTCCAAGTCAACTGCAACCGCCCTCGCGTTTACCGTGCAGCAGACCCACAAGTCGCTTCCACTCAAGCAAGTCCCCAAGGCGCTCTTCAACATCTGCACAACAAACACCAACATATCAACTGCATGGTACACATCGACAACTGCGCACCCGGATCACCACCCACTTACGCGCACCAGACGAAGAGGAATTCCCGCCCCGCGCTCACAAGGACTTCAGGTCAACCCGACATACGCTGCAGTCGCCAACGCCGAACCCACCGGGCGAAACACCTGGTTCTTGGACAGCTGCTGCGGTCAACACATGTGCTCCTCGGGACGCTTCGTGCAACAGGAGAAACGCCTCAACCGCGACGTCGTCATCACCGTCGCCAACAACGAAAACCTGAAGACAAACAGACAAGGCGTGGTTCAGTTACAATCATGGAGACAAACGTATACTTCAGCTCAACAAAGTGCTCATTGTCGACAATCTGGGATACAACCTACTAAGCGTAAGCCAACTAATGGCCAAGGGGATTCACCTGGAGTGCGACTCCTACTCCAACGAGTTCCGGCTTTACCACGGGAAGGGCGGCCTCTTCATCGGTCGTGCCCTCCTGAAGTCCGGTGTCTTCGTGTTGGACTTCGTCCCCGACCGCGGAACTGCCGACAGCGACGGATCGTATCGTTCGCCGCCTGGACTCACCCGCCGGATCTTGATCCCGACTTCGACAGTGACGGCTTCTGGCACTCCAACACCATACCTGCAGCAGAGAGAACACGAGCATTAGCAGTTATCAGACAAGAAAGACAAGTACCCGCAAGTGTCCCAACAAAACCATCACCTGCAGTATCGGCAGCAGGACCCAGCCGAGTACCACCACCAGCGACACGAGGACCGCCAACGAAGCAGACCAACTTATGCCCGCCACACGAGAAGCTTGTCGAAGTCCCGCCTCGGTCGTCGCGTTCTTCTCCAACGCCGACATCTACCACCGCTCGCCCGGTCACCGCGCTCCCGACGACATCTGGCACCAACGTCTCGGACATCCTGCAAACAGCACGATACTTCAAACAATCCAAGCAGAGGTGTTAGAACGCAACGCCCTTCTGACGACGAGCGGCCAAGAACTTCGACGACCACGCGCACGGTGCTTCACATGCCCCGAAGCAGATCTTCCTCATCAACCTTTCCCATCCCATCACAACCCAAGCGCACCTACTTACGCTCCGATGGAAAAGGTCTACAGCGATATTTTAAACATGCCTCGAGACGCACCGAAGCCGACTTCAACTACGTCATCACGTTCATCGACGCCGCAACCAGATACGTCTGGCACTTCAATCTCAAAACGCGCGATCAAGCCTTCGAGCCTTCACAACATGGCTTCCCATCGCCGAACGAGAATCAGGACCAAACTCAAGAGCTTCCAGTCAGACGGTGCACTGGAATACCAGTCACAACGCTTCAGGACCTATCTGGCGGAAAGAGGAATCAGACGCCTGGTGTCCCTGCCCTATGCTCACCACAGCAGGGGGTAGCAGAACGCATGAACCGGACCTTGCAGACGACGATGCGAAAACTGCTTCTGGGGATGAGACTGCCAACCACACTGTGGCCAGACGCGATGACACATGCTGTTCACCTGCACAACCTGTTGTCCTCGTCATCACTTCCCAACAACGCATCACCGCACCTGTTGTGGACAAGAAAAAGGGGCAGCACAAAATTACTCGAGTTTTCGGCTGCATGGTACAGTACAGACCCCACACAGCCCGAGCAGGACGCTTCACACAACGAGCTCGGTGGGGACTACACCTCGGCATCGCCAAACATTTTCACGCGTGGAAAATTCTCGACATACAAGACAAAAACACGGTGGCATCACGTGATGTTATCTTCTACGAGCGACTGACGCTGCAGCATTACCTGGACAACATTGCCAACACACAAGACCCCACCGACGGCTTCTCGGGCCTTCGCTCCTTCCGACCGTGCTGCCGAAGCTGACGCAGCAGAAGAAGACGTACCTGGAGCCTCGGAAGCTGCCGGACCACTCCCATTCTGTTCCGTACCTGTTCCACTCGACGAAGATAATCCCTCGATAGCAACAACCTCGACACCTTTTACCACTTCGCTGACCAAGGTTACGCTACACCCACCCGTCGACACAAATATTTCAGAACGCATCGGCCCAATTTCTTACCTGACCCGAAGACGGTGACGAAGCAGCTTATTCCGGGAATGAAAATTCCCCTCGACACACCCACGGGACTGCAGATTCTAGGCCTCTGGGTCTCCGTCCAGCATCCGCCGCCGCCTTCTCCGCGAGCCTTCAACCTTGTCGCAGGCTCTGGGGGGGAACATAAGGCAAATGGAAGGAAGCGATGGAAAAGGAGTTAAAAGCTCTGCAAGACCGAAAACATGGAAACTGGTACCTGCAACGAGCATCAACGGGAAGAACGTCTCTCGGGGAAATGGGTGTACCGCATCAAGACCAACTCAGACGGCTCCATCGAACGATTCAAAGCTCGATGGGTCGTACGAGGCTTCGATCAACGATACGGAACCGACTACACAGAAACCTTCGCTCCAGTCTCCCGTCACACCTCATTACGCATCCTACTCGCCGTCGCGGCCACGAAGACATACCACTACGCCAAATCGACGTCGCGAATGCGTTCCTATACGCACCTGTGGACGCTGAGATCTTCGTCGAACAACCCCACGGATTCATCGACGACCCCACAAAGTATGCCGACTGACAAAATCCCTTACGGGATCAAGCAAGCCCCGCGGCTCTGGCAGCAGCATCTTCACGGCCGTCTCGTAAAAATCGGATTCCTACAGCTACCGCATGACCAAGGCATGTACCGACTGCAGAAGGGAAGAGATTATCTTCTGCTCATCGTCTACGTCGACGACCTGCTCTACATCGGTTCTACCACCGACATCGCCACCTGGTTCGAAGGGGAGCTGAAAGGAGACTGACGCTCACGGTGTCCGAGTGACCCAGTACCTAGGACTGAATGTCGTCGAAGACAACACGGCGTTCTACCTACACGCTGGAAAGTACTCAGCACGTCGCGAAGAAATTCGGTCTAACACCGACGGTCCCAACTCCCTACCGCTACGGAAAACAACAGCGCCTCCGCAAAACTCCCCGCGAACAAATCCAGGAGTATCAACAGAAGCTCGGCTGCCTACTATTCGCAGCAGTAACCTGCCGACCCGACCTGTCCTATAGTGCGAGTCACTGGCGACGCATCTGAAGCACCGGAACAGGAAGATCTCGAGGAACTCAATCGGGCTACTCTACTTCGTCTCCACGCCGACGATCGGGCTTACCTACAGCAAGCAACAACACCGTCCGTACGACTACTCGGATACGTCGACGCCGACCACGCGGGAGACAGGAAAATCGACGATCTAGGACGGGCTACATCTACCGACTAGAACCTATCGGAACTATCTCCTGGCAGTCGAGCAAGCAGGAGTTAATCGCACTATCCTCGGCTGAAGCAGAGTATATCGCCCTTTGTACTGCGACCAAGGAAGGACTCTACCTACGAGAGTTACTCGAGGAAGCGAAGATCGCGACCCTGCCCGCCTTCTCACTCCTCTGCGACAACCAATCTGCGATCAAAATCGCGAACAAGGACGGCTTCGCCAACCGAACCAAGCACATCGCCCTGCGGTACTTCTTCGTCAAGGATGAAATCGCGAAGGGGAGACTTCAACTCAGTTACTGCCCGACGACAGAAATGGCCGCAGACTATTGACGAAGAAATTGGCGAAGCAAAATTCGACTACTGCATGCTCCTGACCGGGCAAACAAACGTCACCGGATCTGAACATCAGCACTCCAGAAACGAAGGGGAGTGTTGGAAATATCTCAAGACTTAAGCGTTTCTGAAGTGTAACACTACACTCGAGGAAGATTACAGGGAGCACGCGAGTCAACGGAGGTTACACGAGGGGGCGGACAAAGAATGCGAAAAGGTCGCAACTGGAGGTTGCGACTGACCGTTACACATCACGGATGGTAACCGAAGCGGCAATCGAGTCGCTGTGCGACTCGATAAACCGTTCCTGTAACTGTACTCTACAACTGCTTTCTTATCTTCTATATATTGCTGTATGCTTGTTTCTTTAATCAATCACTTGTTCTCACATACTAGTACAAGGGTTCAACTCTCAACTTCCGCTGCACTACTCAAGTCTCAAGTCTTCACAGCTGGGACTTAGTGTCTGAAAAGATCCTAAGGGCTTTTTCTCAGCCCAACAATTTCTAAGCCGAGCTCCCTCCCTCTCCACATTCCCCCATCTCTCCGCCCCCTCACCTCCCCTTCATTTTCCTTCCCTTCCTGTCTGCCCTCCCCTCCATTCCCCGTTCATCTAGAAATAACCCGAGAATGGGACCGCATCAAAGAGCACTGAACTTCCCCTCGAGCTTCCACCTCCCCCCGTCCGCTCCCCATCTCCTCCCCCCATCTCCCCACCCCCATCTCCTCCCCACAACTTCTCCCCCCGTCTCCCCCCATTTCCATCACATTAGGGAATGACCCCATAATGCATCACAAAGCCGCAGCAGTAATCCCCTGCGAGCTCCTCTACCATCCAGCTCCCCCGTGACTTCTTCATATCCCCCTCTAACCTCCCTGCCCCTGCCCCTGCCCTGCCAACTCCCCTCTGTCACATGGGAATCACTTCAGACTGCACGCCAGTCCCACAGAAATTCACAGTCACCCCATCGCCAGCGCTCGTGGGAGTTCCCCCTGTTGTCCCCCTCCACACACGCTCACTTCTGGTGCTCGTGCCGACACCATCCCATGCCCACCCATTCCCTGTCTCTTTCCCAGCCCCTATCCCCCCTTCCTCCCCGCTCTTTCACCTGGGAATCACCTCAGACTGCACGGCAGTGCTGCTCAAAGTCACAGTCCCCATCGCCATCGCCAGCACTCGTTGAGTCCCACCGCTGCTACCCATATTGTCCCCCACCCCTGCCCCTCCTACCCTTCCCCCGTTTCACCTGGGAATCACTTCAGACGGCACGGCAGTGCCGCTGAAAGTCACAGTCACCCCATCACTGGCGCGTGTGAGTACCCCCCATCATCCCCCGCCGCCACAGACTGCCTCTGCTGCTGCTTGTGTTGTCCCCCAATCCCTGCCCCTCCGACCTCCCTCCTCTTTCACCTGGGGATCACTTCAGACTGCACGCCAGTCCCACTGAAGGTCACAGTCACCCCATCGCCATCGCCAGCACTTGTTGGAGTCCCACTGCTGCTGCCCGTGTTGTCCCCCACCCCTGCCTCTCCTCCTCCCCCCTCTTTCACCTGGGAATCACTTCAGACCGCACGGCAGTGCCGCTGAAAGTCACAGTCACCCCATCACCAGCACTCGGGGGAGTGCCCGCAGTCGTCCCCCTCCACACACTCCCACTGCTGCTTCCTGTGTTGTTCTCTCCATCCCCTGCCCCATCCCTCCCCAGTTTCACCTGGGAATCACTTCAGACTGCACGGCAGTGCCGCTGAAAGTCACAGTCACCCATCACCAGCACTCGTGGGGTGCCCGCAGTCGTCCCCCTCCAACACTCCCACTGCTGCTGCCGTGTTGTTCTCCCCATCCCTCCCCTCCCCCTCCTCCGCCTCTCCCTCCCCCGGCCCCCCCTGCCCTCCTCTCTGCTTCCGCAGTAGATCCTCAAACCTACGAATGTTCATCCTCCTCATCCTCCTCCTCTCCATCCCCTCGCTCCGCATACCCGCTCGGGCCTCCCTTGGACGCCGTGGCAGCAATCTCCGCCCAAAACTTGTCACTCGCCCGCGACTTCTCCACTCACAGTTTCCCCTTCTCCGCATGATACCATTCCCCATCGTCCCTCCACCACCACCACCACCACCACCAGCTGCACCACCACCACCAGCACCGCCGCCGCTGCCGCTGCGCAAATCAGAGGAGCGGTGGTCCAGCCGGCGCTGATGGCTTCGAGTTCCTTTAGCACTTGCTGCATGTCGGGTCGGTTCTGCGCCTGCTTGAGACTGCACCGCATCCCAAGCCGCAGAAACCACTCAAACGTCTCCTGCAACGCCTCACTATCACACAGCCCACCTCTCCCCCCCCTCCCTTAGCACCTCCCCCTTCTCCGCCTCCGCCCCCCGCTTCCCTCCCCCGCCCGCTGCTGCTCGCACATGGTTTTAAGTCTTGGGTCCATGACACTGAACACGCCGCCATGGTTGGTAATCCTATCAACCACGATTCTCCTGATGTGCTCGCCGCCCGTTACGGGGCGAAGGCCCGTGGCCAGCTCTAGGAGGACGATGCCGAAGCTGAAGACATCACTCTTCTCGGTTAAGAGATCGCACAGGAAGTACTGAGGATCGAGATAGCCCTGATGGGATGGGAGGTGGTGGAAGGAGGGGGGTGGTGGAAAGTTAGGGGTTGGGCGCAGGCCCGTGGCCAGCTCTAGGAGGACGATGCCGACGCTGAAGACATCACTCTTTTCTGTTAACAGGTCACAGAGAAAATATTGTCGGTTTAGGTATCCCTGATGGGAGATGAGGGAAGGGGCCGGGGGGAAAGGGGAGGGGAAGGGTGGAAAGTGAGGGATTGGGCGAAGGCCCGTGGCCAGCTCTAGGAGGACGATGCCGACGCTGAAGACGTCACTCTTTTCTGTTAACAGGTCACAGAGAAATATTGTCGGTTTAGGTATCCCTGATGGGAGGTGAGGGAAGGGCCGGGGGGAAAGGGGAGGGGAAGGGTGGAAAAGTGAGGGATTGGGCGAAGGCCCGTGGCCGGCTCTAAGAGGACGATGCCGAAGCTGAAGATGTCAGGCTTCTCTGTGAGAAGGTCACACAAGGAGTACTGAGGATCGAGATAGTCCTGATGGGGGGATATGGCTGTTGGGAGAGTGGGGGTGGGGTTGAGAGTTGGCGGAAGCTCCGCGGCCAGCTCAAGCAGCACGATGCTGAAGCGGAAGACGTCACTCTGTTCCGTCAGTAAATCACAGTGATAGGGTTTTGAGATTAATGAAATGAAATAAAATGAAATAATAACAAATCGCAGAAGACATACTGAGGATCGAGAAAACCCTGTTTGGAATGGAATTGTTGGGAGGGAGGCGAGAGGGGGTGAGGGATGGTGGAAACGTTAGGGTGAGGTGAGGTGAGGTGAGGTGAGGTGAGGTGAGGTGACGGCCAAAGCTGAATATGAAACAAGTGGCAAAAAGAGTGGCAGAAACAAGCGTGGCGATTACACACTCCCCTGCACTCACCACTGTCCCTTTGACTTGCGTCTCCAGGCTTCCCCCCTACGCCTCCTCAGGCACGGCCTTGGCAAAAACAAGTGTGCCATCGGCGCACTCCCCTAAACCTGAAACCACTGACCCCGTGACTCACCACTGACCCCGTGACTCACCACTGACCCTGTGACTCACCACTGTGCCCTTGACTTGTGTCTCCAGCTTCCCCTCTGCCTCTTCAGGCACGGCCTTGGAGATGCCGAAGTCAGCCACCTTGGCTTCCAGGTCTGCTGTGATCAGGATGTTGGCCGTCTGGTAGGGGGGGAGGGGCAGGGGGGAGGGGATGGAGAAGAGGGAGGGGGAAGGGGGAAGTGGGCAAGTGGGTCTATTAGATGCCGAAGTTAGCCACCTTGGCTTCCAGGTCCGCTGTGATCAGGATTTTGGCCGTCTGGTAGGGGGCAGGGTGACAGGGGGCAGGTGGAAAGGGGCAGGGGGCAGGGGGCAGGGGTGGGGGCCAGGGGGCAGGGGGCAGGGGGCAGTGGGTGCGGGCCAGGGGCCAGGGCCAGGGGCAGGGCGCAGGGGTGATATATTCTGTAGGCCTTGAAATTACCGAAGTCAGCCAACTTGGCTTCGATGTCCGCTGTGATGAGGATGTTGGCCGTCTGGCACAAGAAGAGGGGGGTGCGATACTGGGGGGTAGGGGGGGAAGGGGGGGGCACGGGGGCAAGCGAGGAAGGGGATGGAAGGGGAGAGGAGAGGAATGGAGGGCGGCCGGGGGAGGGAGGGCGGGAGGGGGAAGGGAGGGGCGGGAGGGGAAGGGAGGGCGGGAGGGGAAGGGGGGCGGAGGGGAAGGGGGGGCGGGAGGGTGAAGGGAGGGCGGGAGGGGAAGGGAGGGCGGGAGGGGGAAGGGGGGCGGGAGGGTGAAGGGAGGGCGGGAGGGGGCAGGGAGATCGGCAGGGGGAAGGGAGAGCAGGAGGGTAAATGGGGAAGGGGGAGGGGGCAGGGGGGGAATAGAATTCTGGCCATGGGGAAATATAGCCTTGGACCTTGGCTTCCAGAGGATGTGATGACGATGATGATGGTTGTCTGAAGTTAAGTAGTTTAGTCTTGAGACGTCTCAAAACTGAACTACTTAACCTTCGCTAAAGGAGGATGTGGTGGCGATGATGGTTGTCTGGAGGTGGAATTGTGAGACGCCTCCAAAATAAACCCCCTATCACGTTTTGAGATGTCTCGAAATGACCCCTCCACCACGTTTTGTGGCGTCTCAAAATAAACCTTCTACCACGTTTTGAGAGACGTCTCAAAATAAACCTTCTACCACGTTTTCAGAAGTCTCAAAATAAACAATCCACCACGTTTTTAGACGTCTCAAAATAGACCTTCTACCACGTTTTGAGAGACGTCTCAAAATAAACCTTCTACCACGTTTTCCGAAGTCTTAAAATAAACAGTCCACCACGTTTTTAGATGTCTCAAATAGACCTTCTACCACGTTTTGAGGCGTCTCAAAATAAGCCTTCTACCACGTTTTGAGACGTCTCAAAAATAAGCCCTCTGACTCGTTTTGAGACGCCTCAAAATAATACTTGTATCGCTTTTTGAGACGTCTCAAATTGATGATGATAATGATGATGATGGTTGTCCGGACGGGGAATGGGGATGAGGGGGATGCAGAAAAGGTATGTTATCAGCACGCATGTATGTTCGTGTGCACATCCCCCCTACCGTCCACATCCCGATGGATAATTGGTAGCTTGATCTGATGGTGCAGGTGGTCCAAGCCAGGCAAATCGCACATGCATGAGCATTGAGCATGCATGTTCGCGCTCATTTCCCTAACCCAACCCCCCGTTGACATTGCAGTGGATAATCGGTGGCTTGAACTGACGTTGCGATGCAGGTACTCCAAGCCACTGGCCGGCCCAATGTGATGCGCGTTTGCATGCACACACCCATACACATGCACACATGAGCACGCATGTATGTTCACGCACACTCACCTTCACATCCCGGTGGATGATTGGCGGCTTGATCTGACGGTCCAGGCAGTCGAAGCCACTGGCTGCTCCACAGGCGACACGTGTTTGCAAGCTCACAACAAGTGTGTACGTACACACGCGCAATATACACACAGCACACCCCTCCCTACCTTGACATCTCTGTGGATGATGGGCGGCTTGATCTGATGGTGCAGGCAGTCGAAGCCACTGGCCGCCCCACATGTGATGCTCGTTTGCATGCACACATCACCCACACACACCCACAATCATAAACAATCACACGTGAGCAAGCATGTACGTGCGTTCACGCACCTTCACATCGCGATGAATGATGGGCCGCTTGATCTGACGGTGCAGGTAGTCGAAGCCACTGGCCGCTGCAGAGGCGAACGGATCCCATGTGCACACACATGCATTCACACAAGTGCGTACGCATGCACACAGACACACTCCCCCCTCACCTTCACATCGCGGTGGATGATGGGTGGCTTGATCTGGTGGTGCAGGTAGGCGAAGCCATTGGCTGCCCCACAGGCGATGTTAACCCGCTGACGCCACGTCAGCGGGTGCTTTGAGTCGGCTGGTGGTGGGGAAAGGAAAGGGGAAGAGGGGGGGGGGGGGGGGGGAGGGGAGAGGGAGGGGGGGTGGTGGGGGACACGGGGATGCATTATGCATGAGTATAAGCAGCCGCTGGCAGGTGAACTGGCTGTGCACAAGCGATGGCGACCCCCTGCTGCCACCACATCAGCAGTGCTCTAAGTTGGCTGGTCATGGGGAAGGGCGAGGGAGGGGGATGGGGGATTGGTATACTTGGGAAGGCCCTAGAGCCCTCTCTCGTTGACCATAAAGAGGGGAGTACCTGCTTCTGACACACAAACAGCAACGACTTCGTGCACCAGCACCAGCAGCAGCAGCACCAGCAGCAGCAGCAGCAGCAGCAGCAGCAGCAGCAGCAGCAGCAGCAGCAGCAGCAGCAGCAGCAGCAGCAGCAGCAGCAGCAGCAGCAGCAGCAGCAGCACCAGCAGCTGCTGCTGCTGCGCTGTACCCCTTTCTGCATGCCTTCCAGTGTGCCCCTCTCAGTGAATTCGTGCACCAGCAGCTGCTGACCCCGCCTCTACCCACAAGCCTGTGGGCAATCAAATCCAGCCGGGACCCAACCCACTACTCCCAACCTCCCTACGTACCTCGCACGCACCATATCCTCCAGGGTGCCCCTCTCGATGTATTCGTGCACCAGCAGCTGCTCCCCTGCCTCCACACAGACGCGGATCACACGGACATCTCTGTCTGCCTGCGCTTATCACGGCAACCCACGCATCTCCCCAGCACTCACGTCGCAGCATGTCTTCCAGGGTGCCCTTCTCAATGAACTCGTACACCAGCAGCTGCTCGCCCTCCTCCACACAGAAGCCTTTCAGCTGCACCAGGTTGCGGTGGCGCACCGCTGAGAGCAGCGTGATCTCGTTGCGGAACTCCGTGCCGCACAGCTGACCGGAAACGGGAGGGGGAATGGGAGCATGGGGGGGCGCGCGGGGGGGGGAGAAGGGAGAGATGGCATGGGTAGGAGATTCGAAACCCTCTGAGAACCACGAGGTTGTATTTTGAGTCGACTCAAATATTTTGTTGTATTTTGAGTCGACTCAAAGTACAAGGGGAGAGATGGCGTGGGTAGGAGAGGTGAAACCCTCTGAGAACCACGAGGTTACGGTGGCGCACGGCCGAGAGGAGTGTGATCGTGTTGCAAAACTCCATGCCGCACAGTTGGTGGGGAATGAGGGGAGGGGATGGGGGACGTGGGGGGAGAGAGAGAGCGAGATGGAGATCAGAAGCCTTTCAGCGCCACCGGGTTGCGGTGGCGCACAGCTGAGAGGCGTCTCATTTTGTTGCACAACTCCAGACAGCTGGTAGGGTGAGTCAGAGAGGCAGAACCAGACTGTAGATAGAAAACCGGAGAGGCTAAGGGGCAGAACCCCTGGCAGAAGAAAACTAAGGTAGGTTGAATTCGATCTGCCTCAAATTCGCACCAAAATCTGCTGACTTGGATGTGGGATTACGTAGGCTTTCACTCAGTGTGCCACCTGAAACCTGAAATGCACCTGACATAACACCTGAAACCTGGTATGGACAACCCTCTGGCCATATGCGTTCCCCTGGACCCACTTCACACATAAAAATTCCACCGGAGAATTCACCTGACAGTCCACCTGACAGTCCACCTGAAGATTCGCCTGACCTACCTTCACATGCCCCTTGGCTCGTTTCACTGCCACCACGTCCCCCGAAGCCAGCACTCCCCTGTACACCTGGTGGCGTGGAGACATGGGAGGGCCATTAATCAAGCGGATGAGAAGAAATAGAGCAAGGCATGGCAAGGTAAGGCAAGGTATGACAAGGTAAGGCAAGGCATGGCAAGGTAAGGCAAGGCATGGCAAGGTAAGGCAAGGTATGACAAGGTATGGCAAGGTATGGCAAGGTATGGCAAGGTATGGCAAGGTATGGCAAGGTATGGCAAGGTATGGCAAGGTATGGGGAAGGCATATGGGAGAACAGCTGAAGGGTGGAGCATCGACGTGCAAGCTGCCACCACATCCCCCAAGGCCAGCACTCCCCAGCGCGCTGAGTCGCGTCTCACGGTTTAAATTGAACCCATATTTGCCTGACCTTACGCCTCCCTCCCTGCTTACGTCGCTTTAAAGGTGTAACTGCGACCTGCCCTGCCTCCCAGGTATACCTGTCCATACCCAGCCCCCCTCCCCCAGTCACACCTGTCCGTATCCGCCCTCCCCCAGCAGCGTCTTGAACCCCTGGGTGGCGTCCTCTATCTCCTTGAGCTTGCACCGATGCACTCCCAGCCTCTGCAGGCCCTCGATCGCCTTGTAGTCCTCCGGGGTCCACAGGTCTGCCACAGAGGGAGACGAGGGGATTGGGGAGAGAGGCGACAGAGGGGAGGGAGGGAACACATGTGCCTTGACCTTCACGATGCACCCCAAGCCCAAGCCTCTGCAGGCCCTTAATAGCCTTGTAGTCCTCCGGGTCCACATGTATGATGTGTGGAAGAGGAAAAGAGAATGAAAGAGAGAGGAAGTGAGAGAGATTGTGAGAGAAAACGTGAGAGAGAGGGTCAAATAGTGCCTCCCCTTGAGCTTGCACCAATGCACTCCGAGCCTCTGCAGGCCCTCGATCGCCTTGTAGTCCTCCAAGGTCCACAGGCCTGGTGTTACCGGAAACACAAGGAGGGCAGGGGAGGGGTAGGGAGGTGAGAGGAGGGGAGAGGAGGGAGGGGAGAGGAGTTGGAAGGAGGGGAGAGGACGGGAGAGGACGGGAGAGGAGGGAGAGGAGGGGAGAGGAGGGGAGGGGAGGGGAGAGGAGAGGAGGGGAGAGGGGAGGGGAGGGGAGGGAGGGAGGGAGAGGAGGGGAGAGGAGGAGAGAGGAGGGGAGGGGAGGGGAGGGAGGGGAGAGGAGGGGAGAGGAGGGAGAGGAGGGGAGAGGAGGGGAGGGGAGGGGAGAGGAGAGGAGGGGAGAGGGGAGGGAGGGGAGGGAGGGGAGGGGAGAGGAGGGGAGAGGAGGAGAGAGGAGGGGAGGGGAGGGGAGGGGAGGGGAGAGGAGGGGAGAGGAGGGAGAGGAGGGGAGAGGAGGGGAGGGGAGGGAGAGGAGAGGAGGGGAGAGGGGAGGGGAGGGGAGGGGAGGGGAGGGAGAGGAGGGGAGAGGAGGAGAGAGGAGGGGAGGGGAGGGGAGGGGAGGGGAGGGGAGGGGAGGAGAGAGGAGGCGAGGGAGGAGGGGAGAGGAGAGGAGAGGAGGGGAGAGGAGGGGAGAGGAGGGGAGAGGAGGGAGAGGAGGGGAAAAGGGGGGAGAAGGGTGGAGAAGAGGGGAGGGGAGGGAAAGGAGCAGAGATGGCGTGAGCTTGAGCCGATGCACGAGCAGCTCTTCTATCGGGTTGTGACCCACACAGTTGCACCAGACTGATATGGTGCCATTTGTTCTGAGAGGGAATAAGAGAACAAAATGTTGAAAGAGGTTTCCTCAGGCGCCTGAGGATCCAGTCTGATCTGATACTGTGACCTTTGCTGCAAAAGAGGGAACATGAAAGAGTGAACAAGGGTGGACGGACGGACGGAAGTTCGGAGAGGGGAGACTGGTAACCACTGTCCTTCGCATGGCCTTTCATTCTTTTGAATAAGAGCCTCACCTTTCCTCTTGCTCATTTCTGGGAGCGACTTTTGAGTTTGACTCAGATATCAACTCAACATAGCAAAATGACTCGCCTTTCATCTTGTTCCTCTGCAGGAGCAACCACACCAGCAGCAGCACAATTAGCGCAAGTGCCACCACTCCCCCACCACAATGCCCACGATCGCAGCAGTTGACATGCCGCCGCCCCACTAGGGCACTAGGGGGCGCAGGGGGCGAGGGAGGGGGATCTGGTGATGTGGGGAACGGGAATGGGGGAGAGTGAGAAAGGGGAGTGATAAGCAGGCTGTTAGTCGGCAGGGAATGACAGCAGGAGTGATGAGCAGGCATGTGAGAGAGCAGTGCAATCGCAGCAAGGGCCGCCACTCCCCCCACCAGTGAGGAAGGGGAGTGATATAGCAGGCGTGCTAGTCAGCAGAGCAACAACAGCAAGAGTGATGATCAGGCGTGGGAGAGAGGAAAGGAAAACAATCACTTGCTTCCCCCACTCCTCACGTGAAGCCATAGATACTTCTTTCAGATCTCATGCGCCCCATACACACCTTCCCCAGTCTTCACCTTCCCCAGTCTTTACCTGCCCATACACACCTTCTCCAGTCCTCACCTGCCCATACACACCTTCCCCAGTCCTCACCTGCCCATACACACCTTCCCCAGTCCTCACCTGCCCATACGCAGCTTCCTCAGTCCTCACCTGCCCCATACACACCTTCCCCCAGTCCTCACCTGTCGCGTTTCAGATCCCCACATCTTGCCATAAAGAGGAGGACCTATGCATATTCTCACCTGGGCCATGCAAGCCTCTCCCAGTCCTCACCTGGTCCATACACACCCGTCCCCTAGTCCTCACCTGCCCCATACACACCCTCCCCTAGTCCTCACCTGGCCCATACATGCCCGCCACTGTGTAAGGCCCGAAGTCCGGCCCCAGCACCACCTTGTGCCACACAAACGAGAGTCCTTGTCACTCGCTATGGAGTGGGCTAATGTTCTCACCTGGCCCATACATAGCTCCACTGTAAACGGCCCGAAGTCAGGCCCAGCATCACCTTGTGCCACACAAACGCCTCTCTTATCTCCTGTGGCTGATCCGCTGGCTGCCATGCACTGCTGCCGCTGCCACTGCTGCTGGTGGTAGCGCTGCTGCTGCTGCTGCTGCTGCCACTGCTGCTGGCAGTGGTGCTGGTGTCGCTGCTGACCCTTGCGGTGGTGCTGGCAGTGGTGCTGATGGTGGCACCAGGGGTGAAGGAGTAAGTGCCGTAGGAAGAGGAAGGGGAAGAGGGTGGAGGCGGAGAGGAGGGGGGGGAGGACGAGGAGGAGGAGGAAGTGGGGGAGGAGTAAGGGAAGAGGGGGGGGGGAGTAAGAGGAGGAGGAGGAAGAAGACGGGGGGAAGGCAGCGGGGGGGGAGGAGGAAGCGAAGGAGGAGGAGAGAGAGGAAGAGGAGGGAGGGGGGAAGAAACGGATGGTGGTGGTGATGCTGGAAGGGGAGAGGATGGAGCCGTCCGCTGACACTATGGCGATCTGTGGAGGTCGGGGAGGGGGGGGAAGGAAGGGAGGAGGGGGGGAAGGAAGGGAGGAAGGGGGGGAAGGAAGGGAGGGAGGAAGGGAGGAGGGGGGGGAAGGAAGGGAGGAGGGGGGGGAAGGAAGGGAGGAGGGGGGGGGAAGGAAGGGAGGAGGGGGGGGGGGAAGGAAGGGAGGAGGGGGGGGGAAGGAAGGGAGGAGGGGGGGGGGAAGGAAGGGAGGAGGGGGGAAGGGTGGGGGGAAAGGGGGCAGGGGGAAGGGTGGGGGAAAGGGGGCAGGGGAAGGGTGGGGGAAAGGGGCAGGGGGAAGGGTGGGGAAAGGGGGCAGGGGGAAGGTGGGGGAAAGGGGCAGGGGGAAGGGTGGGGGAAAGGGGGCAGGGGAAGGGTGGGGGAAAGGGGGCGCGGGAAGGGTGGAGGAAAGGGGGCAGGGGGGAGGGTGGGGGAAAGGGGGCAGGGGAAGGGTGGGGGAAAGGGGGCAGGGGGGAGGGTGGGGGGATGGCTGACGGTGGAAGGGGAGAGGATGGAGCCGCGGGCTGAGACTGTGGCCATCTGCGGCGGGGGGGGGGGGGGTGGGTGAGGGGGGGTGTTGAGGGGGGAGAGGAGGAAACGGGAGAAGGAACAGAATGGCGGAGGGTGGAAGGGGAGAGGATGGAGCTGTTGGCTGCGGCTATGGCAATCTGCTCTGCGGGGAGCGAGGGAAAGGACGGGGGGAGGGAGAAGTGGCGTGAGGGAGGGGGTAAGGGAAGAAGCAAGCGTGAAGGGAAGGAGCAAGGGTGAAGGGAGGGGAGGAACTGGAAGGGAGGGCGGCAGGAGGAGCGAGGAATGAATGTCAGGTTCCAGGGACAATGAGGAACGGGTTGAGAGTTGATTGAAAAGCTGACCCAATGACAGCAGCACGACCCACCTGCCCAGTCGAGATGCCGATCCCGTTCTTGCCCAGACTCTCCGCTATCCTCTTTATAAGCAGGTCCGCCAGCTCGTCATTGAACACTGCATACTGTGGTGCGGTGAGCTTGAGCTCAACCTCCAGCGGCGACACACAGGTGCAGACGTTGGACAGGGCGAGGAGAGGAGGGCTGGGCGAGTACAGGGAGGGGCAGGAGAGGTGGTCGCAGATGGGGGGCGGCTGGTACTGCATGATGTCACGCGGAGGGGAGCAGGCAGCAGTGACCTCGGGGCGGTACGGCACACAGAGATCATTGCCGTAGAGCCTGCAGGGCAGAGATGGGTGTGGGAGGCAAGCATAGGGAGAGACGTGGGAGACCAGAGAGGCACGAGCAGGCGGGAGAGGGAGAGCAGACGGGAGGTGGCTGGTACTGCATGATGTCACGAGGAGGGGAGCAGGCAGCAGTGACCTCGGGGCGGTAGGGCACACAGAGATCATTGCCGTAGAGCCTGCAGGGCAGAGATGGGTGTGGGAGGCAAGCATAGGGAGAGACGTGGGAGACCAGAGAGGCACGAGCAGGCGGGAGAGGGAGAGCAGATGGGAGGTGGCTGGTACTGCATGATGTCACGCGGAGGGGAGCAGGCAGCAGTGACCTCGGGGCGGTAGGGCACACAGAGATCATTGCCGTAGAGCCTGCAGGGCAGAGATGGGAGTGGGAGGCAAGCATAGGGAGAGACGTGGGAGACCAGAGAGGCACGAGCAGGCGGGAGAGGGAGAGCAGATGGGAGGTGGCTGGTACTGCATGATGTCACGCGGAGGGGAGCAGGCAGCAGTGACCTCGGGGCGGTAGGGCACACAGAGATCATTGCCGTAGAGCCTGCAGGGCAGAGATGGGAGTGGGAGGCAAGCATAGGGAGAGACGTGGGAGACCAGAGAGGCACGAGCAGGCGGGAGAGGGAGAGCAGATGGGAGGTGGCTGGTACTGCATGATGTCACGCGGAGGGGAGCAGGCAGCAGTGACCTCGGGGCGGTAGGGCACACAGAGATCATTGCCGTAGAGCCTGCAGGGCAGAGATGGGAGTGGGAGGCAAGCATAGGGAGAGACGTGGGAGACCAGAGAGGCACGAGCAGGCGGGAGAGGGAGGGCAGATGGGAGGCGGCTGGCACTGCAATATGGCGCGAGCGGGCGAGCATGCAGCGGTGACCTCAGGGCGGTAGGGCACACAGAGATCATTGCCGTAGAGCCTGCAGGGCAGAGATGGGTGTGGGAGGCAAGCACAGGGAGAGACATGGGAGACCAGAGAGGCACGAGCAGGCGGGAGAGGGAGAGCAGATGGGAGGTGGCTGGTACTGCATGATGTCACGAGGAGGAGAGCAGGCAGCGGTGACCTCGGGGCGGTAGGGCACACAGAGATCGTTGCCGTAGAGCCTGCAGGGCAGAGATGGGTGTGGGAGGCAAGCATAGGGAGAGACGTGGGAGACCAGAGAGGCACGAGCAGGCGGGAGAGGGAGAGCAGATGGGAGGTGGCTGGTACTGCATGATGTCACGAGGAGGGGAGCAGGCAGCGGTGATCTCGGGGCGGTAGGGCACACAGAGATCATTGCCGTAGATCCTGGAGGGGGGGATTGAACGGGAGGAACAGATGTGGGGGGGGGGGAAGATGGGGGGGGAAGGGAGAGGGGGGGGGAGGGGAGATGGGGGCAGGGGCGGCTGGTGGTGAGAGGTGCTCATGTGAAATGGCTTTGGTGGAGTTAGTGAGTGAGTGAGTGAGTGAGTGAGCGGCTTGAGGCGCCTCACTGCAGTATGACATTCTCATTGCTGAGCATGGCAGCATATGCCCGGGTGAAGTGAGTGAGGGAGTGTTCGCTAGTCGCAACTCACTGCAGGATGACGTTCTCGTTGCTCAGCATGGCAGCAGGCTCCCATGTGAAGTGAAGTGGTTGTCGTAGAGGGAGTGGGTGAGATAGTGGCTGCTGTAAGCGAGTGAATGCGTGAGTGAGCAGCACTCACTGCAGGGTGACGTTCTCATTGCTGAGCAGGGCAGCAGACGCCCATGTGAAGTGGTTGTCGAAGAGGGAGATGGTGGCGATGGCAGGGAGGGTGTCCAAGAGAGGCACACGGCCCGTCAGGTTGTTGTCGGAGAGGATACTGGGGGAGAGAAGAGGGGGGAGGGGATGGGGGGGGTGGGGGAAAGAAATAGGGTAGCAGGAGAAAGGCCAACAGGTGCCCGGGTGAAGTAGTTATCGTAGAGGGAGGTAGTGGCGATGGCAGGCAATGTGTCCAACTGAGGCACAGGGCCCACCAGGTTGTTGTCGGATAGGATACTGGGGGAGTGTGGGGGGGGGGGGGAATGTGGGTGGGAGAAAGGGAGGAGGAGACGCCCCAGGCGAAGTGGTTGCCTAAGAGTGAGATGGTGGCGATGGCAGGGAGGGTGTCCAAGTGAGGCACAGGCCCCGTCAGTTTGTTGTCTGATGGGAGACTGGGGAAAAGAGGAGGAAGGAGAACTGTGGGGAAGAGAGGACAGCAAAAAAAACAAAAACAAAAAAAAAGCACGCATCTGGGCGAAATGGTTATCGGTGGCTATGGCAGGGCATGTGTCCAATCGAGGCACAGGGCCAGCCAGGTTGTTATCGGAAAGGATACTGTGTGGGGAAAGAAGAGGAGGGAAGGGCGGAAAAACAGAGAAGGCGTTGCAGGCGTGAGGCGTGGAGATGGCAGGCAGGGAGAGTGTCTAGAGAAGAGAAGTCCATGATTTGCAGGGTGTATTTTGAGAATTCTCAAAAACACCCCGCACAATCACAGACCGCATTGCAGGCATGAGACGTGGCGATGACCGGAAGGGCATCTAGAGGGGCACAGGCCCCGTAAAGTTGTTGCCAGACAGGAGACTGGGGGAGCGGAATAGCGGAGGGGGGACAAAGAGCAGCAGGCGCCCGCCCAGGTGAAGTGGTTGTCAGAGAGGGTGATGGTGGCGAGGGGGGTTTTCAGAGGCCGCAGAGCGGGCTGCAGGGGGGTAGCTGCTACAAGTAAGGAGCAATGAGATGCTGCTTGCATGGATACAAGGAAGAGAAAAGCTGCAGAGCGGGCTGCAGGGCGGGCTGCAGGGCGGGCTGCACTGAGGGCTGCGGGGGGGAGGGTCTCACATGGAGTGGAGCCGGGTGAGGTTGGCTGAGGCCACCACGGGAGGGAGGTAGCTGCTGAGATGGTTCCTGGCGAGATTGCTGCAGTGGGCAGAAGGGAGGGGAAAGGAGGGGAGGGGAGAGAAAGGGAGTGGAAAAGAGATGGGAGGGGATGGGAGGGAGGGGAAAGGGTCAGAAAAGTCCGATAAGGAGATTGCCAATTAGATGGTTCTTGACAAGATCGCAGCAGCGTATGGGAGAGAAAACGGGGGGAACTTCATCTTGCTGGGGGGGAAATGGCCTTGGGAGGGTAAACGAGGGCAGTGGGGGGGATTGAAGGGGAATGGAGGCGAGGAGAGGCACTTCGCAGGGAGAAAACGGGAGTGACGAAGAGCAATGCGGCGTTCCGACATGGAGAGGCAGAGAGAATGAAGCATGAAGCATGATGCAGGATGCAGGATGCAGGATGCAGGATGCAGGATGCAGGATGCAGGATGCAGGATGCAGGATGCAGGATGCAGGATGCAGGATGCAGGATGCAGGATGCAGGATGCAGGATGCAGGATGCAGGATGCAGGATGCAGGATGCAGGATGCAGGATGCAGGATGCAGGATGCAGGATGCAGGATGCAGGATGCAGGATGCAGGATGCAGGATGCAGGATGCAGGATGCAGGATGCAGGATGCAGGATGCAGGATGCAGGATGCAGGATGCAGGATGCAGGATGCAGGATGCAGGATGCAGGATGCAGGATGCAGGATGCAGGATGCAGGATGCAGGATGCAGGATGCAGGATGCAGGATGCAGGATGCAGGATGCAGGATGCAGGATGCAGGATGCAGGATGCAGGATGCAGGATGCAGGATGCAGGATGCATGCAGGATGCAGGATGCAGGATGCAGGATGCAGGGGATGCAGGATGCAGGATGCAGGATGCAGGATGCAGGAGCAGGATGCAGGATGCAGGATGCAGGATGCAGGATGCAGGGATGCAGGATGCAGGATGCAGGATGCAGGATGCAGGGATGCAGGATGCAGGATGCAGGATGCAGGATGCAGGATGCAGGATGCAGGATGCAGGATGCAGGATGCAGGATGCAGGATGCAGGATGCAGGATGCAGGATGCAGGATGCAGGATGCAGGGATGCAGGATGCAGGATGCAGGATGCAATGCAGGATGCAGGATGCAGGATGCAGGATGCAGGATGCCAGGATGCAGGATGCAGGATGCAGGATGCAGGATGCAGGATGCAGGATGCAGGATGCAGGATGCAGGGATGCAGGATGCAGGATGCAGGATGCAGGATGCAGGATGCAGGATGCAGGATGCAGGATGCAGGATGCAGGATGCAGGATGCAGGATGCAGGATGCAGGATGCAGGATGCAGGATGCAGGGATGGCAGGATGCAGGATGCAGGATGCAGGATGCAGGATGCAGGATGGCAGGATGCAGGATGCAGGATGCAGGATGCAGGATGCAGGATGCAGGATGCAGGGATGCAGGGGATGCAGGATGCAGGATGCAGGATGCAGGATGCAGGATGCACGGATGCACGATGCAGGATGCCAGCGATGCAGGATGCAGGATGCAGGATGCAGGATGCAGGATGCAGGATGCAGGATGCAGGATGCAGGATGCAGGATGCAGGATGCAGGATGCAGGATGCAGGATGCAGGATGCAGGATGCAGGATGCACGATGCACGATGCACGATGCACGATGCACGATGCACGATGCACGATGCACGATGCACGATGCACGATGCACGATGCACGATGCACGATGCACGATGCACGATGCACGATGCACGATGCACGATGCACGATGCACGATGCACGATGCACGATGCACGATGCACGATGCACGATGCACGATGCACGATGCACGATGCACGATGCACGATGCACGATGCACGATGCAGGATGCAGGATGCAGGATGCAGGATGCAGGATGCAGGATGCACGATGCACGATGCACGATGCAGGATGCACGATGCAGGATGCACGATGCAGGATGCAGGATGCAGGATGCAGGATGCAGGATGCAGGATGAAGGATGCAGGATGCAGGATGCACGATGCACGATGCAGGATGCACGATGCAGGATGCACGATGCAGGATGCAGGATGCAGGATGCAGGATGCAGGATGCAGGATGCAGGATGCAGGATGCAGGATGCAGGATGCAGGATGCAGGATGCAGGATGCAGGATGAAGGATGCAGGATGCAGGATGCACGATGCACGATGCAGGATGCACGATGCAGGATGCACGATGCAGGATGCAGGATGCAGGATGCAGGATGCATGATGCCCAGACAACACAACGCCACCTCTCACAGGGAGAACGCCTGCGAGCACAATGGACTGATCATACTGTTCTTTCTTACTCACAGGGTCACGAGCTCTGGGTGGCTGCTGAAGAGAGAAAGCGGCACTGAGCCGCGGAAGTTGTTGCGGCTCAAATCGCTGCAAGTTGCGGATGGGCCAGGGGAGAAGGCAAGGGAAGAAGGAGTAGATGGGGGGCGAGGGCGAGGGATGGGAGAACAAGGTTGGGGGAGAAGAGAGGTGGGGACGCATATGGCTGCTGAGGAGAGCAATGGGCACGGAGCCTTGAAAGTCTTTGCAACTCAAATCCCTGCGAGGGGTGGACGGGCAAGGGAGGAGAGGGGAGGGACAGGGAAGAGGGGCAGGAAAAGGGTTCAAATGTCATTCCAGAAAAGGGTAAGGGAGGAGCGTACAGAGCGCTGGGGCCTGGGAGGCTCCCAAGGGATGAGAAGCAACTGAGAAGCTGCGGAATGGAACAGATGATTTAAAGGCGAGAGGGGGGAGGGAGAAGGAAGCCAAACGCACAGGTAGCGGAGAAGAAGGAAGGGGCAGACGTACAGGTAGCAGAGGGCTGGGAGGCCCGCAAGGGAGGGGAGTGGCTGAGGCGGCATGGAGCAGTTGTTCATGGACCTGCGGGCATGGAGGGGGGAGGAGGAGGGGGGGGATTGAAAGGTGGACAGGCGGAAGAGAGGGATGACACGGTTGTTGAGGGCGGGGTGGAAGCGGCTGAGGTGGCATGGAGCAGTTGTTCAGAGACCTGCGGGCATGGAGGGGGCAGGAGGAGGGGGGAGGAGGAGGGGGGAGGAGGAAGGGGGAGGAGGAGGGGGGAGGAGGAAGGGGGAGGAGGAGGGGGAAGGAGGAGGGGGGAGGAGGAGGGGGGAGGAGGAGGGGGAAGAGGAGAGGGGGGAAGAGGAGGGGGGAGGAGGAGGGGGGAGGAGGAGGGGGGAGGAGGAGGACGGAGGAGGAGGGGGGAGGAGGGGGGGGATCAAAAGGTGGACAGGGGGAAGAGAGGGGATGGTACGGTTGTTGACGGGGGGATGGCAGTGGCTAAGGTGGCATGGACGCATGCACAGAGCGGCTGGTCATGGAGCTGTGGGCGTTTGAGTCGACTCAAAAGCAGAGCGGCTGGTCATGGACCTTTCGGCATGCACAAGAGTGGGAGCCTGCACGCATGAAGCGAGATGCTATGATTAGAAGTAGGAAAACGGCCGAACGGCGAAAGGGGGGTCAGCAATATGGTTGAGGGGCGAAAATGAGTCCCCTCAAGAGTCAGTACAATGCTATCGTGGAGGGGGGAGGATGGAAAGGCTTTGGATTGAGGCATTTCGGAAGTTGTGGGGGAGAAGGGAAAGAAGGAAGCGTAGTTGTGCATTAGGGAAAGAAGTAGTGGACACAGGGAAGTGGATTTGCAGATGGGGAATACATTGCAGGGACTAACACATGCGTGAGGACAAACACATGCATGAGGACAAACACACGCGTGAGGACAAACACATGCGTGAGGACAAACACACGCGTGAGGACAAACACATGCGTGAGGACAAACACACGTGTGAGGACAAACACATGCGTGAGGACAAACACACGCGTGAGGACAAACACACGCGTGAGGACAAACACACGCGTGAGGACAAACACACGCGTGAGGACAAACACACGCGTGAGGACAAACACACGCGTGAGGACAAACACACGCGTGAGGACAAACCACACGCGTGAGGACAAACACACGCGTGAGGACAAACACACGCGTGAGGACAAACACACGCGTGAGGACAAACACACGCGTGAGGACAAACACACGCGTGAGGACAAACACACGCGTGAGGACAAACACACGCGTGAGGACAAACACACGCGTGAGGACAAACACACGCGTGAGGACAAACACACGCGTGAGGACAAACACACGCGTGAGGACAAACACACGCGTGAGGAATGAGAGAGCTCCAATATCAATCAACTGTATGGATGATCTTGTGCGAAAAGGTGCACAGGTCTTGCAATGTAGTGCGTGTGAAGGGGAATTATGCACGGGGGAAGCATGCATGAAGGGGGAAGAGCGCTCACAGGTCTTGCAATGTAGTGCGTGTGATGGGGGGAAGCACGCATGACGGGGGGAGAACGCTCACAGGTCTTGCAGTTGCGGGAGGTCGAGAGTCGGTGGTAGGCGGCCCTGAATGGTGTTGTTGCTCAGATGGCTGCCACGTGGCAAGCAGAGATTGGGGGACAGGAGGGGTACGAACGAAGGACATATTGGTATGAGTGCTACCCTCTTGAAATAATCTCAAAAAGAGCATCCTTATTCCCTCTCTCACATGCACAAAACTACCTCCATCAGCACCATCTCCATTACACTTTATCCACGATATAAATATCTCATCATAAATGTCTGTCAGGTCAGTCATAGGATAATCCCCACTACTCACATGATCTCGAGGCTCCTGGAGCCACTGAGCCCTGCTGGAAAGGTCTGGTTCAGCCGGTTGTTGTCCATGAGGCTGGTGAGGGGGGGGGAGGGGGGGGAGGGGGGGGGCGGGGGGGGGGGGGGGGTAAGGGCAGGGGGGCACCAGGGTGAGAGGGGGATATGAGGCGACTTTTGAGGTGCCTCTAAACGGAACTGGCCCAAAAGGGGGGCACCAGGGTGAGAGGGGGATATGAGGCGACTTTTGAGGCGCCTCTAAACGGAACTGGCCCAAAAGGGGGGAACCAGGGTGAGAGGGGGATATGAGGCGCCCCCACAGAACTGGCCCCGGCTGGAAAGATCTTGTTCAAGCGGCTGTTGTCCATGAGTCCAATGGAGTAGGGGAAGGGAGAAGGGAAGACGAAGGAGGAAGTTGAGGGAGAGGGTGAGGCAGGTGAAGGGAGATGAATGAGGACCCCTTGAATTGGAGGTGTTGAGGCGCCTCAACAGAACTGGCCCCGACCGGAAAGGTCTTGTTCTTGCTGACTGTGATGGGGAGAAGGGGGGGGGGAAGGTTGGGGAGGTGCGAATTGATGGTGGGGAGGGGGAGGGAGGAGGGAGGAGAGGAGAATGGAGGGGTGGAGGGGAGAGGGTATACGTGATACGGTGCACCGAGCCTGTCTAAAGAGCACGAGAGGATGGGTGCTGTCCATAGGGATGGGTGCTGTCCATAGGGATGGGTGTCTGGCTGTCTGGCTGTCTGGCTGTCTGGCTGTCTGGCTGTCTGGCTGTCTGGCTGTCTGCCTGTCTGGCTGTCTGCCTGTCTGCCTGTCTGCCTGTCTGCCTGTCTGCCTGTCTGCCTGTCTGCCTGTCTGCCTGTCTGCCTGTCTGCCTGTCTGCCTGTCTGCCTGTCTGCCTGTCTGCCTGTCTGCCTGTCTGCCTGTCTGCCTGTCTGCCTGTCTGCCTGTCTGCCTGTCTGCCTGTCTGCCTGTCTGCCTGTCTGCCTGTCTGCCTGTCTGCCTGTCTGCCTGTCTGCCTGTCTGCCTGTCTGCCTGTCTGCCTGTCTGCCTGTCTGCCTGTCTGCCTGTCTGCCTGTCTGCCTGTCTGCCTGTCTGCCTGTCTGCCTGTCTGCCTGTCTGCCTGTCTGCCTGTCTGCCTGTCTGCCTGTCTGCCTGTCTGCCTGTCTGCCTGTCTGCCTGTCTGCCTGTCTGCCTGTCTGCCTGTCTGCCTGTCTGCCTGTCTGCCTGTCTGCCTGTCTGCCTGTCTGCCTGTCTGCCTGTCTGCCTGTCTGCCTGTCTGCCTGTCTGCCTGTCTGCCTGTCTGCCTGTCTGCCTGTCTGCCTGTCTGCCTGTCTGCCTGTCTGCCTGTCTGCCTGTCTGCCTGTCTGCCTGTCTGCCTGTCTGTCTGTCTGTCTGTTTGTTTGTTTGTCTGTTTCTCTGTTTGTCTGTTTCTCTGTTTGTCTGTTTGTTTGTCTGTTTGTCTGTTTGTCTGTTTGTGAGGCGCCAAAAGAAAATACGAAGACGAAGAAGAAACCGTACAGGTGGATGAGCTTGGGAAGTCGTCCCAGTTCTCCTGGGAGCCATGTGAGCTGGTTGCGACTCAGGTGACTGGCAAAGGGAGGGGGTTACGAGCCCGGGGGGAAGACAGGACACAACACGGGAGGAGCACAAGCGGGGAGTCAGAGGAAAGCTTTTGCAGTCGTCCCAATTCTGCTGGGAGCCATGATAGGCGGTTGCGACTCAGGTGACTGGCAGGGACAGAGGCACACGAGACAGGGGCACACGAGAAGGCATTCAATGGGGCAAGCAAAGGCAAAAGGGAGTCAGGAGAATAGAAGGGAGTCAGAGGAAAGCTTTGGCAGTCGCGAAAGAGCGCCGAGTGGGTGAAAAGGGGGTGGCGAGGGGAATGCGGCACATGGCAGGTTTTGAGGCGCCTCTAAACGTGGTGAGGGCAGCGAGGGGAATGCGGCACATGGCAGGTTTTGAGGCGCCTCTAAACGTGGTGAGGGCAGCGAGGGGAATGCGGCACATGGCAGGTTTTGAGGCGCCTCTAAACGTGGTGAGGGCAGCGAGGGGAATGCGGCACATGGCAGGTTTTGAGGCGCCTCTAAACGTGGTGAGGGCAGTGAGGGGAATGCGGCACATGGCAGGTTTTGAGGCGCCTCTAAACGTGGTGAGGGCAGTGAGGGGAATGCGGCACATGGCAGGTTTTGAGGCGCCTCTAAACGTGGTGAGGGCAGTGAGGGGAATGCGGCACATGGCAGGTTTTGAGGCGCCTCTAAACGTGGTGAGGGCAGCGAGGGGAATGCGGCACATGGCAGGTTTTGAGGCGCCTCTAAACGTGGTGAGGGCAGTGAGGGGAATGCGGCACATGGCAGGTTTTGAGGCGCCTCTAAACGTGGTGAGGGCAGTGAGGGGAATGCGGCACATGGCAGGTTTTGAGGCGCCTCTAAACGTGGTGAGGGCAGCGAGGGGAATGCGGCACATGGCAGGTTTTGAGGCGCCTCTAAACGTGGTGAGGGCAGCGAGGGGAATGCGGCACATGGCAGGTTTTGAGGCGCCTCTAAACGTGGTGAGGGCAGTGAGGGGAATGCGGCACATGGCAGGTTTTGAGGCGCCTCTAAACGTGGTGAGGGCAGCGAGGGGAATGCGGCACATGGCAGGTTTTGAGGCGCCTCTAAACGTGGTGAGGGCAGTGAGGGGAATGCGGCACATGGCAGGTTTTGAGGCGCCTCTAAACGTGGTGAGGGCAGTGAGGGGAATGCGGCACATGGCAGGTTTTGAGGCGCCTCTAAACGTGGTGAGGGCAGCGAGGGGAATGCGGCACATGGCAGGTTTTGAGGCGCCTCTAAACGTGGTGAGGGCAGGAGGGGAATGCGGCACATGGCAGGTTTTGAGGCGCCTCTAAACGTGGTGAGGGCAGCGAGGGGAATGCGGCACATGGCAGGTTTTGAGGCGCCTCTAAACGTGGTGAGGGCAGCGAGGGGAATGCGGCACATGGCAGGTTTTGAGGCGCCTCTAAACGTGGTGAGGGCAGCGAGGGGAATGCGGCACATGGCAGGTTTTGAGGCGCCTCTAAACGTGGTGAGGGCAGCGAGGGGAATGCGGCACATGGCAGGTTTTGAGGCGCCTCTAAACGTGGTGAGGGCAGCGAGGGGAATGCGGCACATGGCAGGTTTTGAGGCGCCTCTAAACGTGGTGAGGGCAGCGAGGGGAATGCGGCACATGGCAGGTTTTGAGGCGCCTCTAAACGTGGTGAGGGCAGCGAGGGGAATGCGGCACATGGCAGGTTTTGAGGCGCCTCTAAACGTGGTGAGGGCAGCGAGGGGAATGCGGCACATGGCAGGTTTTGAGGCGCCTCTAAACGTGGTGAGGGCAGCGAGGGGAATGCGGCACATGGCAGGTTTTGAGGCGCCTCTAAACGTGGTGAGGGCAGCGAGGGGAATGCGGCACATGGCAGGTTTTGAGGCGCCTCTAAACGTGGTGAGGGCAGCGAGGGGAATGCGGCACATGGCAGGTTTTGAGGCGCCTCTAAACGTGGTGAGGGCAGCGAGGGGAATGCGGCACATGGCAGGTTTTGAGGCGCCTCTAAACGTGGTGAGGGCAGCGAGGGGAATGCGGCACATGGCAGGTTTTGAGGCGCCTCTAAACGTGGTGAGGGCAGCGAGGGGAATGCGGCACATGGCAGGTTTTGAGGCGCCTCTAAACGTGGTGAGGGCAGCGAGGGGAATGCGGCACATGGCAGGTTTTGAGGCGCCTCTAAACGTGGTGAGGGCAGCGAGGGGAATGCGGCACATGGCAGGTTTTGAGGCGCCTCTAAACGTGGTGAGGGCAGCGAGGGGAATGCGGCACATGGCAGGTTTTGAGGCGCCTCTAAACGTGGTGAGGGCAGCGAGGGGAATGCGGCACATGGCAGGTTTTGAGGCGCCTCTAAACGTGGTGAGGGCAGCGAGGGGAATGCGGCACATGGCAGGTTTTGAGGCGCCTCTAAACGTGGTGAGGGCAGCGAGGGGAATGCGGCACATGGCAGGTTTTGAGGCGCCTCTAAACGTGGTGAGGGCAGCGAGGGGAATGCGGCACATGGCAGGTTTTGAGGCGCCTCTAAACGTGGTGAGGGCAGCGAGGGGAATGCGGCACATGGCAGGTTTTGAGGCGCCTCTAAACGTGGTGAGGGCAGCGAGGGGAATGCGGCACATGGCAGGTTTTGAGGCGCCTCTAAACGTGGTGAGGGCAGCGAGGGGAATGCGGCACATGGCAGGTTTTGAGGCGCCTCTAAACGTGGTGAGGGCAGCGAGGGGAATGCGGCACATGGCAGGTTTTGAGGCGCCTCTAAACGTGGTGAGGGCAGGAGGGGAATGCGGCACATGGCAGGTTTTGAGGCGCCTCTAAACGTGGTGAGGGCAGCGAGGGGAATGCGGCACATGGCAGGTTTTGAGGCGCCTCTAAACGTGGTGAGGGCAGCGAGGGGAATGCGGCACATGGCAGGTTTTGAGGCGCCTCTAAACGTGGTGAGGGCAGCGAGGGGAATGCGGCACATGGCAGGTTTTGAGGCGCCTCTAAACGTGGTGAGGGCAGGAGGGGAATGCGGCACATGGCAGGTTTTGAGGCGCCTCTAAACGTGGTGAGGGCAGGAGGGGAATGCGGCACATGGCAGGTTTTGAGGCGCCTCTAAACGTGGTGAGGGCAGCGAGGGGAATGCGGCACATGGCAGGTTTTGAGGCGCCTCTAAACGTGGTGAGGGCAGCGAGGGGAATGCGGCACATGGCAGGTTTTGAGGCGCCTCTAAACGTGGTGAGGGCAGCGAGGGGAATGCGGCACATGGCAGGTTTTGAGGCGCCTCTAAACGTGGTGAGGGCAGCGAGGGGAATGCGGCACATGGCAGGTTTTGAGGCGCCTCTAAACGTGGTGAGGGCAGGAGGGGAATGCGGCACATGGCAGGTTTTGAGGCGCCTCTAAACGTGGTGAGGGCAGCGAGGGGAATGCGGCACATGGCAGGTTTTGAGGCGCCTCTAAACGTGGTGAGGGCAGCGAGGGGAATGCGGCACATGGCAGGTTTTGAGGCGCCTCTAAACGTGGTGAGGGCAGCGAGGGGAATGCGGCACATGGCAGGTTTTGAGGCGCCTCTAAACGTGGTGAGGGCAGCGAGGGGAATGCGGCACATGGCAGGTTTTGAGGCGCCTCTAAACGTGGTGAGGGCAGCGAGGGGAATGCGGCACATGGCAGGTTTTGAGGCGCCTCTAAACGTGGTGAGGGCAGCGAGGGGAATGCGGCACATGGCAGGTTTTGAGGCGCCTCTAAACGTGGTGAGGGCAGCGAGGGGAATGCGGCACATGGCAGGTTTTGAGGCGCCTCTAAACGTGGTGAGGGCAGCGAGGGGAATGCGGCACATGGCAGGTTTTGAGGCGCCTCTAAACGTGGTGAGGGCAGCGAGGGGAATGCGGCACATGGCAGGTTTTGAGGCGCCTCTAAACGTGGTGAGGGCAGCGAGGGGAATGCGGCACATGGCAGGTTTTGAGGCGCCTCTAAACGTGGTGAGGGCAGCGAGGGGAATGCGGCACATGGCAGGTTTTGAGGCGCCTCTAAACGTGGTGAGGGCAGCGAGGGGAATGCGGCACATGGCAGGTTTTGAGGCGCCTCTAAACGTGGTGAGGGCAGCGAGGGGAATGCGGCACATGGCAGGTTTTGAGGCGCCTCTAAACGTGGTGAGGGCAGCGAGGGGAATGCGGCACATGGCAGGTTTTGAGGCGCCTCTAAACGTGGTGAGGGCAGCGAGGGGAATGCGGCACATGGCAGGTTTTGAGGCGCCTCTAAACGTGGTGAGGGCAGCGAGGGGAATGCGGCACATGGCAGGTTTTGAGGCGCCTCTAAACGTGGTGAGGGCAGCGAGGGGAATGCGGCACATGGCAGGTTTTGAGGCGCCTCTAAACGTGGTGAGGGCAGCGAGGGGAATGCGGCACATGGCAGGTTTTGAGGCGCCTCTAAACGTGGTGAGGGCAGCGAGGGGAATGCGGCACATGGCAGGTTTTGAGGCGCCTCTAAACGTGGTGAGGGCAGGAGGGGAATGCGGCACATGGCAGGTTTTGAGGCGCCTCTAAACGTGGTGAGGGCAGCGAGGGGAATGCGGCACATGGCAGGTTTTGAGGCGCCTCTAAACGTGGTGAGGGCAGCGAGGGGAATGCGGCACATGGCAGGTTTTGAGGCGCCTCTAAACGTGGTGAGGGCAGCGAGGGGAATGCGGCACATGGCAGGTTTTGAGGCGCCTCTAAACGTGGTGAGGGCAGCGAGGGGAATGCGGCACATGGCAGGTTTTGAGGCGCCTCTAAACGTGGTGAGGGCAGCGAGGGGAATGCGGCACATGGCAGGTTTTGAGGCGCCTCTAAACGTGGTGAGGGCAGCGAGGGGAATGCGGCACATGGCAGGTTTTGAGGCGCCTCTAAACGTGGTGAGGGCAGCGAGGGGAATGCGGCACATGGCAGGTTTTGAGGCGCCTCTAAACGTGGTGAGGGCAGCGAGGGGAATGCGGCACATGGCAGGTTTTGAGGCGCCTCTAAACGTGGTGAGGGCAGCGAGGGGAATGCGGCACATGGCAGGTTTTGAGGCGCCTCTAAACGTGGTGAGGGCAGCGAGGGGAATGCGGCACATGGCAGGTTTTGAGGCGCCTCTAAACGTGGTGAGGGCAGCGAGGGGAATGCGGCACATGGCAGGTTTTGAGGCGCCTCTAAACGTGGTGAGGGCAGCGAGGGGAATGCGGCACATGGCAGGTTTTGAGGCGCCTCTAAACGTGGTGAGGGCAGCGAGGGGAATGCGGCACATGGCAGGTTTTGAGGCGCCTCTAAACGTGGTGAGGGCAGCGAGGGGAATGCGGCACATGGCAGGTTTTGAGGCGCCTCTAAACGTGGTGAGGGCAGCGAGGGGAATGCGGCACATGGCAGGTTTTGAGGCGCCTCTAAACGTGGTGAGGGCAGCGAGGGGAATGCGGCACATGGCAGGTTTTGAGGCGCCTCTAAACGTGGTGAGGGCAGCGAGGGGAATGCGGCACATGGCAGGTTTTGAGGCGCCTCTAAACGTGGTGAGGGCAGCGAGGGGAATGCGGCACATGGCAGGTTTTGAGGCGCCTCTAAACGTGGTGAGGGCAGCGAGGGGAATGCGGCACATGGCAGGTTTTGAGGCGCCTCTAAACGTGGTGAGGGCAGCGAGGGGAATGCGGCACATGGCAGGTTTTGAGGCGCCTCTAAACGTGGTGAGGGCAGCGAGGGGAATGCGGCACATGGCAGGTTTTGAGGCGCCTCTAAACGTGGTGAGGGCAGCGAGGGGAATGCGGCACATGGCAGGTTTTGAGGCGCCTCTAAACGTGGTGAGGGCAGGGAGGGGAATGCGGCACATGGCAGGTTTTGAGGCGCCTCTAAACGTGGTGAGGGCAGCGAGGGGAATGCGGCACATGGCAGGTTTTGAGGCGCCTCTAAACGTGGTGAGGGCAGCGAGGGGAATGCGGCACATGGCAGGTTTTGAGGCGCCTCTAAACGTGGTGAGGGCAGCGAGGGGAATGCGGCACATGGCAGGTTTTGAGGCGCCTCTAAACGTGGTGAGGGCAGGGAGGGGAATGCGGCACATGGCAGGTTTTGAGGCGCCTCTAAACGTGGTGAGGGCAGCGAGGGGAATGCGGCACATGGCAGGTTTTGAGGCGCCTCTAAACGTGGTGAGGGCAGGGAGGGGAATGCGGCACATGGCAGGTTTTGAGGCGCCTCTAAACGTGGTGAGGGCAGCGAGGGGAATGCGGCACATGGCAGGTTTTGAGGCGCCTCTAAACGTGGTGAGGGCAGCGAGGGGAATGCGGCACATGGCAGGTTTTGAGGCGCCTCTAAACGTGGTGAGGGCAGCGAGGGGAATGCGGCACATGGCAGGTTTTGAGGCGCCTCTAAACGTGGTGAGGGCAGCGAGGGGAATGCGGCACATGGCAGGTTTTGAGGCGCCTCTAAACGTGGTGAGGGCAGCGAGGGGAATGCGGCACATGGCAGGTTTTGAGGCGCCTCTAAACGTGGTGAGGGCAGCGAGGGGAATGCGGCACATGGCAGGTTTTGAGGCGCCTCTAAACGTGGTGAGGGCAGCGAGGGGAATGCGGCACATGGCAGGTTTTGAGGCGCCTCTAAACGTGGTGAGGGCAGCGAGGGGAATGCGGCACATGGCAGGTTTGAGGCGCCTCTAAACGTGGTGAGGGCAGCGAGGGGAATCGGCACATGGCAGGTTTGAGGCGCCTCTAAAGTGGAGGGCAGCGAGGGGAATGCGGCACATGGCAGGTTTTGAGGCGCCTCTAAACGTGGTGAGGGCAGCGAGGGGAATGCGGCACATGGCAGGTTTTGAGGCGCTCTAAGAGCATGGAGGCGCCTCTAAACGTGGTGAGGGCAGCGAGGGGAATGCGGCACATGGCAGGTTTTGAGGCGCCTCTAAACGTGGTGAGGGCAGCGAGGGGAATGCGGCACATGGCAGGTTTTGAGGCGCCTCTAAACGTGGTGAGGGCAGCGAGGGGAATGCGGCACATGGCAGGTTTTGAGGCGCCTCTAAACGTGGTGAGGGCAGCGAGGGGAATGCGGCACATGGCAGGTTTTGAGGCGCCTCTAAACGTGGTGAGGGCAGGAGGGGAATGCGGCACATGGCAGGTTTTGAGGCGCCTCTAAACGTGGTGAGGGCAGCGAGGGGAATGCGGCACATGGCAGGTTTTGAGGCGCCTCTAAACGTGGTGAGGGCAGCGAGGGGAATGCGGCACATGGCAGGTTTTGAGGCGCCTCTAAACGTGGTGAGGGCAGCGAGGGGAATGCGGCACATGGCAGGTTTTGAGGCGCCTCTAAACGTGGTGAGGGCAGCGAGGGGAATGCGGCACATGGCAGGTTTTGAGGCGCCTCTAAACGTGGTGAGGGCAGCGAGGGGAATGCGGCACATGGCAGGTTTTGAGGCGCCTCTAAACGTGGTGAGGGCAGCGAGGGGAATGCGGCACATGGCAGGTTTTGAGGCGCCTCTAAACGTGGTGAGGGCAGCGAGGGGAATGCGGCACATGGCAGGTTTTGAGGCGCCTCTAAACGTGGTGAGGGCAGCGAGGGGAATGCGGCACATGGCAGGTTTTGAGGCGCCTCTAAACGTGGTGAGGGCAGCGAGGGGAATGCGGCACATGGCAGGTTTTGAGGCGCCTCTAAACGTGGTGAGGGCAGCGAGGGGAATGCGGCACATGGCAGGTTTTGAGGCGCCTCTAAACGTGGTGAGGGCAGCGAGGGGAATGCGGCACATGGCAGGTTTTGAGGCGCCTCTAAACGTGGTGAGGGCAGCGAGGGGAATGCGGCACATGGCAGGTTTTGAGGCGCCTCTAAACGTGGTGAGGGCAGCGAGGGGAATGCGGCACATGGCAGGTTTTGAGGCGCCTCTAAACGTGGTGAGGGCAGCGAGGGGAATGCGGCACATGGCAGGTTTTGAGGCGCCTCTAAACGTGGTGAGGGCAGCGAGGGGAATGCGGCACATGGCAGGTTTTGAGGCGCCTCTAAACGTGGTGAGGGCAGCGAGGGGAATGCGGCACATGGCAGGTTTTGAGGCGCCTCTAAACGTGGTGAGGGCAGCGGAGGGGAATGCGGCACATGGCAGGTTTTGAGGCGCCTCTAAACGTGGTGAGGGCAGCGAGGGGAATGCGGCACATGGCAGGTTTTGAGGCGCCTCTAAACGTGGTGAGGGCAGCGAGGGGAATGCGGCACATGGCAGGTTTTGAGGCGCCTCTAAACGTGGTGAGGGCAGGGAGGGGAATGCGGCACATGGCAGGTTTTGGAGGCGCCTCTAAACGTGGTGAGGGCAGCGAGGGGAATGCGGCACATGGCAGGTTTTGAGGCGCCTCTAAACGTGGTGAGGGCAGCGAGGGGAATGCGGCACATGGCAGGTTTTGAGGCGCCTCTAAACGTGGTGAGGGCAGCGAGGGGAATGCGGCACATGGCAGGTTTTGAGGCGCCTCTAAACGTGGTGAGGGCAGCGAGGGGAATGCGGCACATGGCAGGTTTTGAGGCGCCTCTAAACGTGGTGAGGGCAGCGAGGGGAATGCGGCACATGGCAGGTTTTGAGGCGCCTCTAAACGTGGTGAGGGCAGCGAGGGGAATGCGGCACATGGCAGGTTTTGAGGCGCCTCTAAACGTGGTGAGGGCAGCGAGGGGAATGCGGCACATGGCAGGTTTTGAGGCGCCTCTAAACGTGGTGAGGGCAGCGAGGGGAATGCGGCACATGGCAGGTTTTGAGGCGCCTCTAAACGTGGTGAGGGCAGCGAGGGGAATGCGGCACATGGCAGGTTTTGAGGCGCCTCTAAACGTGGTGAGGGCAGCGAGGGGAATGCGGCACATGGCAGGTTTTGAGGCGCCTCTAAACGTGGTGAGGGCAGCGAGGGGAATGCGGCACATGGCAGGTTTTGAGGCGCCTCTAAACGTGGTGAGGGCAGCGAGGGGAATGCGGCACATGGCAGGTTTTGAGGCGCCTCTAAACGTGGTGAGGGCAGCGAGGGGAATGCGGCACATGGCAGGTTTTGAGGCGCCTCTAAACGTGGTGAGGGCAGCGAGGGGAATGCGGCACATGGCAGGTTTTGAGGCGCCTCTAAACGTGGTGAGGGCAGCGAGGGGAATGCGGCACATGGCAGGTTTTGAGGCGCCTCTAAACGTGGTGAGGGCAGCGAGGGGAATGCGGCACATGGCAGGTTTTGAGGCGCCTCTAAACGTGGTGAGGGCAGCGAGGGGAATGCGGCACATGGCAGGTTTTGAGGCGCCTCTAAACGTGGTGAGGGCAGCGAGGGGAATGCGGCACATGGCAGGTTTTGAGGCGCCTCTAAACGTGGTGAGGGCAGCGAGGGGAATGCGGCACATGGCAGGTTTTGAGGCGCCTCTAAACGTGGTGAGGGCAGCGAGGGGAATGCGGCACATGGCAGGTTTTGAGGCGCCTCTAAACGTGGTGAGGGCAGCGAGGGGAATGCGGCACATGGCAGGTTTTGAGGCGCCTCTAAACGTGGTGAGGGCAGCGAGGGGAATGCGGCACATGGCAGGTTTTGAGGCGCCTCTAAACGTGGTGAGGGCAGCGAGGGGAATGCGGCACATGGCAGGTTTTGAGGCGCCTCTAAACGTGGTGAGGGCAGCGAGGGGAATGCGGCACATGGCAGGTTTTGAGGCGCCTCTAAACGTGGTGAGGGCAGCGAGGGGAATGCGGCACATGGCAGGTTTTGAGGCGCCTCTAAACGTGGTGAGGGCAGCGAGGGGAATGCGGCACATGGCAGGTTTTGAGGCGCCTCTAAACGTGGTGAGGGCAGCGAGGGGAATGCGGCACATGGCAGGTTTTGAGGCGCCTCTAAACGTGGTGAGGGCAGCGAGGGGAATGCGGCACATGGCAGGTTTTGAGGCGCCTCTAAACGTGGTGAGGGCAGCGAGGGGAATGCGGCACATGGCAGGTTTTGAGGCGCCTCTAAACGTGGTGAGGGCAGCGAGGGGAATGCGGCACATGGCAGGTTTTGAGGCGCCTCTAAACGTGGTGAGGGCAGCGAGGGGAATGCGGCACATGGCAGGTTTTGAGGCGCCTCTAAACGTGGTGAGGGCAGCGAGGGGAATGCGGCACATGGCAGGTTTTGAGGCGCCTCTAAACGTGGTGAGGGCAGCGAGGGGAATGCGGCACATGGCAGGTTTTGAGGCGCCTCTAAACGTGGTGAGGGCAGCGAGGGGAATGCGGCACATGGCAGGTTTTGAGGCGCCTCTAAACGTGGTGAGGGCAGCGAGGGGAATGCGGCACATGGCAGGTTTTGAGGCGCCTCTAAACGTGGTGAGGGCAGCGAGGGGAATGCGGCACATGGCAGGTTTTGAGGCGCCTCTAAACGTGGTGAGGGCAGCGAGGGGAATGCGGCACATGGCAGGTTTTGAGGCGCCTCTAAACGTGGTGAGGGCAGCGAGGGGAATGCGGCACATGGCAGGTTTTGAGGCGCCTCTAAACGTGGTGAGGGCAGCGAGGGGAATGCGGCACATGGCAGGTTTTGAGGCGCCTCTAAACGTGGTGAGGGCAGCGAGGGGAATGCGGCACATGGCAGGTTTTGAGGCGCCTCTAAACGTGGTGAGGGCAGCGAGGGGAATGCGGCACATGGCAGGTTTTGAGGCGCCTCTAAACGTGGTGAGGGCAGCGAGGGGAATGCGGCACATGGCAGGTTTTGAGGCGCCTCTAAACGTGGTGAGGGCAGCGAGGGAATGCGGCACATGGCAGGTTTTGAGGCGCCTCTAAACGTGGTGAGGGCAGCGAGGGGAATGCGGCACATGGCAGGTTTTGAGGCGCCTCTAAACGTGGTGAGGGCAGCGAGGGGAATGCGGCACATGGCAGGTTTTGAGGCGCCTCTAAACGTGGTGAGGGCAGCGAGGGGAATGCGGCACATGGCAGGTTTTGAGGCGCCTCTAAACGTGGTGAGGGCAGCGAGGGGAATGCGGCACATGGCAGGTTTTGAGGCGCCTCTAAACGTGGTGAGGGCAGCGAGGGGAATGCGGCACATGGCAGGTTTTGAGGCGCCTCTAAACGTGGTGAGGGCAGCGAGGGGAATGCGGCACATGGCAGGTTTTGAGGCGCCTCTAAACGTGGTGAGGGCAGCGAGGGGAATGCGGCACATGGCAGGTTTTGAGGCGCCTCTAAACGTGGTGAGGGCAGCGAGGGGAATGCGGCACATGGCAGGTTTTGAGGCGCCTCTAAACGTGGTGAGGGCAGCGAGGGGAATGCGGCACATGGCAGGTTTTGAGGCGCCTCTAAACGTGGTGAGGGCAGCGAGGGGAATGCGGCACATGGCAGGTTTTGAGGCGCCTCTAAACGTGGTGAGGGCAGCGAGGGGAATGCGGCACATGGCAGGTTTTGAGGCGCCTCTAAACGTGGTGAGGGCAGCGAGGGGAATGCGGCACATGGCAGGTTTTGAGGCGCCTCTAAACGTGGTGAGGGCAGCGAGGGGAATGCGGCACATGGCAGGTTTTGAGGCGCCTCTAAACGTGGTGAGGGCAGCGAGGGGAATGCGGCACATGGCAGGTTTTGAGGCGCCTCTAAACGTGGTGAGGGCAGCGAGGGGAATGCGGCACATGGCAGGTTTTGAGGCGCCTCTAAACGTGGTGAGGGCAGCGAGGGGAATGCGGCACATGGCAGGTTTTGAGGCGCCTCTAAACGTGGTGAGGGCAGCGAGGGGAATGCGGCACATGGCAGGTTTTGAGGCGCCTCTAAACGTGGTGAGGGCAGCGAGGGGAATGCGGCACATGGCAGGTTTTGAGGCGCCTCTAAACGTGGTGAGGGCAGCGAGGGGAATGCGGCACATGGCAGGTTTTGAGGCGCCTCTAAACGTGGTGAGGGCAGCGAGGGGAATGCGGCACATGGCAGGTTTTGAGGCGCCTCTAAACGTGGTGAGGGCAGCGAGGGGAATGCGGCACATGGCAGGTTTTGAGGCGCCTCTAAACGTGGTGAGGGCAGCGAGGGGAATGCGGCACATGGCAGGTTTTGAGGCGCCTCTAAACGTGGTGAGGGCAGCGAGGGGAATGCGGCACATGGCAGGTTTTGAGGCGCCTCTAAACGTGGTGAGGGCAGCGGAGGGGAATGCGGCACATGGCAGGTTTTGAGGCGCCTCTAAACGTGGTGAGGGCAGCGAGGGAATGCGGCACATGGCAGGTTTTGAGGCGCCTCTAAACGTGGTGAGGGCAGCGAGGGGAATGCGGCACATGGCAGGTTTTGAGGCGCCTCTAAACGTGGTGAGGGCAGCGAGGGGAATGCGGCACATGGCAGGTTTTGAGGCGCCTCTAAACGTGGTGAGGGCAGCGAGGGGAATGCGGCACATGGCAGGTTTTGAGGCGCCTCTAAACGTGGTGAGGGCAGCGAGGGGAATGCGGCACATGGCAGGTTTTGAGGCGCCTCTAAACGTGGTGAGGGCAGCGAGGGGAATGCGGCACATGGCAGGTTTTGAGGCGCCTCTAAACGTGGTGAGGGCAGCGAGGGGAATGCGGCACATGGCAGGTTTTGAGGCGCCTCTAAACGTGGTGAGGGCAGCGAGGGGAATGCGGCACATGGCAGGTTTTGAGGCGCCTCTAAACGTGGTGAGGGCAGCGAGGGGAATGCGGCACATGGCAGGTTTTGAGGCGCCTCTAAACGTGGTGAGGGCAGCGAGGGGAATGCGGCACATGGCAGGTTTTGAGGCGCCTCTAAACGTGGTGAGGGCAGCGAGGGGAATGCGGCACATGGCAGGTTTTGAGGCGCCTCTAAACGTGGTGAGGGCAGCGAGGGGAATGCGGCACATGGCAGGTTTTGAGGCGCCTCTAAACGTGGTGAGGGCAGCGAGGGGAATGCGGCACATGGCAGGTTTTGAGGCGCCTCTAAACGTGGTGAGGGCAGCGAGGGGAATGCGGCACATGGCAGGTTTTGAGGCGCCTCTAAACGTGGTGAGGGCAGCGAGGGGAATGCGGCACATGGCAGGTTTTGAGGCGCCTCTAAACGTGGTGAGGGCAGCGAGGGGAATGCGGCACATGGCAGGTTTTGAGGCGCCTCTAAACGTGGTGAGGGCAGCGAGGGGAATGCGGCACATGGCAGGTTTTGAGGCGCCTCTAAACGTGGTGAGGGCAGCGAGGGGAATGCGGCACATGGCAGGTTTTGAGGCGCCTCTAAACGTGGTGAGGGCAGCGAGGGGAATGCGGCACATGGCAGGTTTTGAGGCGCCTCTAAACGTGGTGAGGGCAGCGAGGGGAATGCGGCACATGGCAGGTTTTGAGGCGCCTCTAAACGTGGTGAGGGCAGCGAGGGGAATGCGGCAC